ATAGTTGTGAGAACGGATTCTGAATCTTTTTGTGTCCTGAGTTCATAATGTAACATGTGTAAGATTAAGTAAGATGAACAACGCATTATCTGAAGTATGAAAAATGTATAACCAAAATAGAAACTTACAAATGCGGCAATGTTTTCCCTTATGCTCTGTGAGTATCGCCCATTGTTAGAAGAGCCATTGTTTAAAATGCTTGAGATTATGAAAGACTTAGGAAGAGATAGAGAGTATGAAAGACTTAGGAAGAGATAGAGAGTATGAAAGACTATGAAAGATTTCGTAGCAGAGAGTGAGACTTGTGTGAGTGTGAGAGATGTATGATATGGTATGTATTTATAGGCAAATACATTTCATATAGTGGTTGTTGGTGCTTGCATGCATGCGAAGTGTCACTCTTGTAGGCTAGGTGGCAGCCTAGGGGGTTACATATATGCATGCATGCATGTACAAAAAATGAAAGGTGTCACTCTTGCAGGTTAGGTGGCAACCTAAGGATGTATCACGATTGGACAGTAAGGGAGGTGCCATTTGACTTGGCGAAAGAGTACAAAAATGAATGGTGTCGCCACCCCAATTGGCGAATAAGAGGTGTCCTTTGTTGCAGGCTAGGCTCAGGCTAGGTGATAGCCTTTGGGATTCCTTGCCTGAATGCATGTAAGCCCATTGGAGGTGATGGGAGGGGACTTACAACATACAGTATAGGTGCAGAGTAGGCGCAGGCTAGGTGCTAACCTAGGGGGTTACATATTTGCATGCATGTATCACGATTGGACAGTAAGGGAGGCGCCATTTGACTTGGCGAAAGAGTACAAAAATGAATGGTGTCGCCACCCTAATTGGCGAATAAGAGGTGTCCTTTGTTGCAGGCTAGGCTCAGGCTAGGTGACAGCCTTTGGGATTCCTTGCATGTAACACTATTGGCATCCTTGGGGGTTGCATCCTTACTTAATTGAAATTTTTAGTCTTGCGTTTATCATAACATTCATTCACTTAATCTGTCAAATCTTCCAACCTTCAAACATTCTTACAATCAAACCTTCAAACCTTCAAACAATCAAACACATAAACTTTTGAATCACTCATAAAGTTCAAACATTCCAACCTTCAAACCTTACAGCACTCAAACCTTCATACAATCAATAAACCTCAAACATTCCAACCTTCGAATCACTCATAAAATTCAAACATTCTAACCTTCAAACCTTAAAACAATTCTACGCAATGGCCTCTGCACCACAATTTGTCGTCAAAGCACATTTCAACAGTGAGACATACATTTGTCCCACCGTTGGGTTTTTGTTTAGAGACACAGACAACATCCGATTTCTCTTAAACGGGAAAGCCAATTTCTCGTACTTCAAAAAAAGATTGGAGGCCAAACTTGAACAAGGCCCGGTGTCCCAGATATTTTATCAGAATCCAGTTTTCTTTGGAAACAACCAAGTAATTTTTTATAAGGTTGAAGTTCAAGATGACGAGGATCTCCAGAATATGTTTTCCAGCCATGTCTATTATGGGTACGACTCTATTGAGTTGTACGTTATGCTGCGAGAGCCTCAGGTGACACAAGAGGTTGATCCTTTGGAGAATGAACAAGCTGAGGTAGATGCAGTTGATGATGAAGAAGAAGATAACGAGTTAGAGTTTGATGAAATGGTGAATGATGATTCCGACGATGATGGCATCCCTAGTATTCCTGCAAACAAAATCTACACACCACCTCCGCACATGACAAACTTCAACATGGGAGGAGATGAACCTTCTACTGACTTATTTTTCAATCCGTATATGCAGTCGGATGAAAATTTAAAAGAGAAGGACAAGTTTTGTAACAGAGAGGAATGCATCAGGGCCATTAAAAAATTCCACATGCTTAACTCGGTTGATTTTAAGGTGGATCGTGTCAATCCAGAAAGGTACAAGATCAAGTGTGTCCACCCTGACTATATGTTCAAGCTGACCGCATCATACAGATTAAGGGGTGACTGCTGGGTCATAGGTTCCATGACTACCCACACTTGTTTAAGTTCCACTCAATCACAGGACCACCGAAAACTCAACTATGATCTCATCTGTCAAGAAATCCTACCCCTGGTCAGTAACGACCCATCTTTGAAGGTGAAAACAATCATCTCCCACATCACCACAGTTTTTAACTACACTCCGTCTTACCGTAAGGCGTGGTTAGCAAAGACTAAGGCGATTGAAACAGTGTACGGAAACTGGGAGGAGTCATACCAAGAACTTCCCCGCTACCTGAATGCACTCAAGACGTATTCTCCAGGTAGTGTTTACGTTCTGGAAACAATGCCAGCATACGCCCAAGATGGTAGTCTACTAAATCGCAACGGAATATTCAGTCGCGTGTTTTGGGCATTTCAACCATGCATCACAGGGTTTGCATCATGCAAACCAATTATACAAATTGATGGGACTTGGTTGTATGGGAAGTACAAAGGCACGCTACTGATGGCAGTTGCACAAGATGGCAACAACAACATTTTCCCCATTGCCTTTGCCCTTGTCGAGGGGGAGACCGGTGGTACTTGGAGCTTTTTCCTGAAAAATCTGCGGGCACACGTGGCTCCTCAACCAGATCTCTGTTTGATCTCGGACAGACATGCCTCCATTGAAAGTGCCTACAATAATCCAGCAAATGGTTGGCATGACCCTCCTTCTATGCATGTCTATTGCGTTAGGCATATCGTCCAGAATTTCTCGAGGGAGATCAAAGACAAAACATTGAGGAAAGCGGTTATGAATGCAGGATATGCATTGACACAACCCACATTCAAATATTACCGCAACGAGATCCGTTTGTCAAATCCGGAAGCCGGTAGGTGGATCGACAATATTCCGGTGGAAAAATGGACTAGGTCATACGATAATGGCCAAAGATGGGGGCATATGACAACGAATCTTATTGAATCAATGAATGGGGTATTCAAAGGCATACGAAACCTCCCAATCACTGCCTTGGTAAAATCTACGTATTTTAGGATGGCTGCGTTATTTGCCAAAAGAGGTGAAATGTGGAATGCGGTGTTGCAATCTGGACAACTATGGAGTGAAAGATGCATGAAATACATTAAGGCTGAAAGTGCTAAAGCCAACACTCATATGGTTATACGGTTTGACCGACACAACCACAACTTCATTGTGAAAGAGACAATCGACCACAATGAAGGCCTGCCAAGACAAGAATATAGGGTCATGCTACCTTCTCAATAGTGCGATTGTGGCAGGTTTCAAGCATTTCGTATGCCTTGCTCTCATGTCATTGCTGCTTGTGCTCATACCCATGAAGACGCGCTGCAACTTCTGTCAAACATTTACAAATCTGAAACGTTGCTCAACGTTTACAACAACAACTTTCCTTTGGTAGCAAAACCAGATTATTGGCCTGCATACGACGGCGAAATAGTGTGGCACAATGACCAAATGCGAAGGAACAAGAAGGGTCGTCCCAAAAGTAAGCGCATCACAACAGAAATGGAAGATCTTGACAGGTTGGAAAGAAAGTGTGGTTTATGCCGTCAGGTCGGACACAATCGCAAAAACTGTCTGAATCGGTCGTCTGGCTCGACCACATAAATATTGTAATACATAAAATCTTTTCTTAATTGTGTTGTAAACATTTGGGTTTTCCGTTAACAGATTTTGCTACAATTAATAAAACGCGTACAAGAATAATTAACGATATTCCATCTACAAAATTACAACTGTTAACACAATTTCATCTGACCCATGCATCATCAACATTACATCGCTGTCTGTTTTGACTTCCTCCAACCACACATTAGGTCTTCCTGTCGCATGTGAGGTTGTTGTTCGTTTTCGCTGGATCCTTCGAATTTTTTCCCCCTCCGTAATGTCTCCATCTAGCCATCGCATCAACTCCCGCTTCAGACGCTCCATGGAGTGAATGTGCCAGAATTTCATTTTCATCGCAGGTTTCGTGGCGGAGAAGATAACGTAACCATCTCTGCTAAAAATCATAGGCGACGTCATGACGTAAATAACAGAGTACAAAATAAAAATACAGTGCGAGAAAGTGTGAGAAATTTCAGAGAAACAAATGAATTATTTATAAAACAGCATTTTGCCCTAATTTTGCCCTAAGAGCCAAGTGAGATGGCGCCTCCTCTCACTTTTAAGGAGCATGCGCCATCTCACTTAGCTAAAAGCCAAGGGAGGCACCAAGTGAGATGGCGCCTAGGGCAAATTGGTAGGTGCATGCGCCATTTCAGATGGCTCCTCCTTTGGGGAGTCATCTGAAACATGGTTATTTGCGTAATTTTTTTCGAAACCCGATTATTTGCGAAATATTATTTTAATACTTGGTTATTAATAAAAAAAATTCGTTTTTTGAATCACTATTAAAAGAATTAGAAGAAGGAAATATTAAAGTAGACAAAAGATAATGAAAAGATATTTAAATAATTGTGAAAACAACCAAAAAAAGACTAATAAATAAAATAATAATATCGTATTTAGTTAAAAATCTCAACAAAAATCTTTAAAGAAAAGGATAACCATCAAATCCCCCATTCAATGAATATTGATACATCCTAATCTTAAAATATATTCGTATTTTAAATCTTTTTCCTTAAATGTTGCAGATTTTGTTTCCGTAAAAAAAAATAACACAAAAAATTGAAAAGGTGAAAAAATAAAAATAGTTTTAAAAATAAACAAAGTACTCCATATGTGTGCAATTCATTGGTTGATATAGAATCAGTGATTCCATAAAGATACATTTATATTTAAAGCCTGATGAATAGATTTATTAATTTTCAAAAACACATTAAATAGAAAATCAACTTTCCTATTTGATCTGAAAAAGTAATTGCGAAATAAACATATTTGTTCCTATAAATACCGAGCAAGTACACATCTAAGGATATATCTTTTGGAAGCAAAAAGAAACCTAGGAGAACTTCTTCTGTCTTTGTGTCAAACTCATATCATCGTCTTTTTCGCTGCTGGTTGAAATGGCTAGCTGGAGAAAAAACCAAGGGATCAGTAATCGTCAAGAGGGTAACAGGAGATACTCATCTTATAACGGAAAACCACCTTTGGGTAACGATCTTTTTCTTTTCCCTTTCTTTCTTTCTTTTGTTTTGTTTTGTTTTTTCTTTTGATTCTCTTTACTTTTTTTGATTCATAGATAATAGGTTTTCAAGAGTACCTTTATGGGAAAAGAAGTTTTGCACTAGTGTTGGTGCAGTTCCATGGCGAAGGTTTATAGAAGGCAAGAGGTATATGGTATTACATTCCGATGTGATGAAGTGGGAGGACTCTGCTGTCAAAGAAGCATTTGACAATGCGAAAAACAGGTATTGGGCTGAGATCAACGGATTTCCCTGCCACATTCCGTTGCCTGATCCGGACATGTACATCGATGAAGTAGACTGGGATGCAAGTGTTGATCCAGAACTGTATCTAGATTTGGATAGAGAAGTAGAGGCCAGACGTAAGATGATAGAAGAGAACGAGGAGACTGTGATTGAAGACAATCCTCTCGGTCATGGATGGAAACTCACACCTACTGGATGGGGGGACGATGACGAGGAAGAAGTAACCAAGCCTCGGGAACCAAGTTATGTTGGTGAGGGATGGGGATCAAACAACCATGAAAATAATGAAACTAACTATCGGGAACAGAATGATTCTCAAAGGTGGGAGCACTATGGCGGTGAGCTGCATGATACGTATCAAGCAAGAAATAGGAGGAACATAAATTGGGGAGGAAATAACAGAAGGAGAGAGAATAACATATCATGGTCTAAGAACCAAGAATATCACTATGATAATAATCGAGGAAGAAGAAATGGAGGAAGAGGGGGAAGGAGGGGAAACAATACTTATGCGGCTAAGGTAGCTGCTACTCCCAGTGCATGGTAAATTCCTTGGACTGCAAGAAAGTCCTATGAGGCTGCTAAAGGCTTAGTTTGGTCAAAGTAGCTGAGGATATTGATTTTGTTATCTAGTTGCTATATAATAATCTAGATTTTGCTGAAGAAATGGAGGAAGGAGGTAGTTACTTCCAGTTCATGCTAAACAATATAGGTTTTGCTATATCACTGAGGTTTTTTCCTTTGCTTTTCTTTTTGGTTTCTGTTCTAGTCGCTTGTTAGGATTGCAGATTTTGTCAACTTTTGAAGCTCTTTACTATTTTTGTATATCAGGTCTACTTAAAAATAAAATTATAAAAAAATAATTCTTATAGAATTATGACAGTTTAAAAAGAGAACCTAAATTTTAAATACTAGTATTAACTTAGAATACAAAACAATATATAAATGTTAAAATATTTATCTCGTATATTGAATAAGTGCACTAACAGACATATAAGTATATTGGATTGAAATGATTTTAATTTACAAATTAAATCAATGATTATATTTGTTTAAGTAATAAATGCTTGAATGCAGTTAAACTAATCATTTGTGTGATTATGATAAAATCAAATATGTTTAATGATTAGAGTTACTATTCATTGATAATATAATAAATATTAATTCCATTGTTGATTCATACTGACTATTTTTTTATTAAAAAAAGTTTATGTACAAAAAACGCAGAACTGATTTTGACCAAATTGGAAGGAAAAAAAAAGGTTAATTTTATAGGTGTGTTCTATCTGTGCTAAATATGTTGTTGATTAGAAAAATATATATTTTATTTATAGTTAAAGTTTGAATCGGAAAATGAAGCTAAAAGATTAAAAAAGGATAACTAATTTAAGTTTTTCTATTGGGATACAAGAGAACAAAAGTCCATAAATAAGAGACTATCACTTATTTGGTAACATGTAAAGGAAGGTGGGTTCTGACTTTTTAGAGGCCAAAAAAAAAAAAAAAACTGAATCCTTAATAAAAACAGAATAATTAATTATAATCAGGATTATCTCATACAATTATTTTTCATGATTTTTTCTGTGTAGAATTTATATAATTATCGAATTTTTGTTATATCTGAGATTGGATCTATCATAATTAGGGTTGTCTAGAAGAATTTGAAGGCTTTACTCCAATTTTAAAAATCTACTCATATTAATAAGGAACACAGAATTTAAAAACAATCATATCTTAATAATTTATGTAAATATTTATAAATAAGAAATATACATTAACAATAAATAACTATCAAAAAATATGATTTCATTAAAAATTTCAATTAATTACATAGAAATTATTTTATAATTCAAAGTTTAGTTGATATATTAGCACATTCTATAAAGATTTTGTATGAGTAGGATCTTGAACCTATGCCATCTAGGATTAAACCCAAGAATCAAACCATTAAACCACGCGCTATAAATGTTTAATGTTTTGTAGAGAATATATTACTTTAATATTTTAATACTTTTTAATTATACCTCTTAAAGTTTTGAGACCCCCATATTTTTTAAGTCCTCGATTGTAGACCTATTTATCCAGGCCCAAAGTCATCCCTGACGCAAAGTTAAAAATAAAAATCTTAGTTAAATAGAATGAGAATCATAAATACTCAACATAAATCTATTCTAAACTCTCATATTTGTTAACACATTAGCATATTTATTCGTTTTACGAAAAATATGCTTAATTCGAATCTCCCAATAAAACACCGTCAACGATTTTAGACTATGATACAACTCAATACATGTCGTCAAAATCATCTCGCATACTTCCGACCTAAATAGTTGGATTCTCCACAACTGATAAATACTCTTACAATGATCGTTCCGCCACCCTACTAGAAAAGGAGATTGAAGTAGTTAGTGAATGGTAATGCGTGCGGTCAATGTTAGTTTTATTGGGATCCTACTGAGTAGACGCCAAATGTACTTTGTAAAAAGTAAAATAACGGTAGCTCTGTATTTATAGTACTCCTACCGTTTTATATTATTTGTCACAATTGATCATATTCTCACAGATTAAGAAACAATAATAAATGAAAGAAAGATAATAGTGATTTTATCAAATTATCCTGATTAATTATTGGTGTATTCAAATTAGCATTAATGTTAAGTGAGAAAACAATAAATTAAGAGTATTTATTAGAGGGTACAATTGAAAGATTAAATATAAAATTGCATTAATAATCTAAAGTGACAAGTATTTTGGGACAATTTTTTTCCTTCTAAATGTGACACACATGATCACTTAAAAAGTATTGTAGATTAAAATAGATTTAAATATGACAACCTTCAATTTTAATTCCTACAAAAAATTTCTTCAAAAAATGGTCCTCACAATATTTTTCGTCCCTACTTTTGGTTCCTCCTGTTAGATTCCACTAATGGAGGCTTACATGACACGCCACATGTCACACCATGTCAGTTAAAGTCAACGCTAAACAAAAAGAGACTGATTGCGGGGGTTTTAAATCCATATTAAATAACTTTAAAAACAATCATTTTCACAAGTAATTAATCAAACAATTGGTAGGGAAATCGTTGTTACCCTCATTCTTCACATCATCATCATAAATATGAAGTAAAATAGCAACAAGGTTCCTCGAAAAATCTTGCCACATCCTTTTTCTACCACACATATTTTGCAATAAATAGGAGAAATATGTGGTTGGGGGGGGGGGGGGGGGGGGGGACGTTTTTAATACAAACTTGTGATGGCAAGGCAAGTTTAGGAACTCTAAGGCAAAGGTTCTCACTATCAGAAGTCAATTTGTAATCGAATATTCATGTATTATATCTTTATTTCTTCAACTATGATTACTATATGTATGAAACTATTGGATCATTTGTTTTCATTTTGTAATATTTGCACTTCTGATTAATTCAGTTTATTATTCAGTTAATTTTGCGTCCATTGCTTTATATATGTGGACGAACTCGTATAATGAACTTAGACATCATAATGATTAACTAACCCTAACTTTATGAATCTAATCTAAATTAATTGTTCAACTTAGTAATTAATCAGATATAAGAAATTATAAGTTGGGACTTAAGATTCAACATATCAAATATTGCTTATTTTAACTAGCCAGCTAACTTAAGAGATTAAGGCGCGTAATGTAGAATAGTGAGTTATACACCAAGAGATTGAGTATAATGGCTGAGTTAAATTGTCACAATAATTGAGGAATCAACATAGGGAAAATAGAAACCAACAACAATAGTGACATACATGGGATTCAAAGCAAGGCCTAGTCATTGTAATTCTGATAAAACATTCGAAGGAAGTGTGAGTATAACTTCGCTTCAAAAGTGTTTTGTATGATGACAAAACCGGGACAAGATGACACTTATGTGAATTAGATGGTATCCATATGCCTTGTGGCACTCCTCTGCATTATATTTCTTAGGAATCATCAAAAAGCATATTGAAATTGATCCAAATTATTAAAAAAAACCATTTATGCATAGTTTTTCGTAGCATGTGTCGATACATTGGAGTTTCAGGTTGACACATGTAACTCATTTTTAAAGCCTATAGCTTCTGTAAATATCAGGTCGACACATGCACCCATACGGGTCGACACATACTAAAAGAATTCTGAAATTGCAGAAATTTTAATTTTATGTGTCGACACATCCGTTTTTTTAGGTCGACACATCTACTAGCGTATTTAAGCTTGTAGCCTCTGAGTTGTTCAGGTCGACACATGACATTATTTGAGGTTGACACATACGACCTAAACACAAAGTATGTGTCGACACATACGAGTTTGAGGTCGACACATCCTGTTTGACTCGGTCATATTTTAATTTCTTTTTTATTCCAAATTTATCCTTATTTCCCTAATTGTCCCACAACTATAAATAGTCATTCATGCATCATTCACAACTTGATGATACCATTAAATTAGCCTAGTTTTTCTCTCCATCTTCAACCTTCCAATCTATGCATACACACCAACATTATATTGTGATGATATTTCGTCGGGGTGCCATCTAGATGAAGAACTGTGGATTTCTAATTGGTTTGGGTTGAGTTCTTGTAGAGGTCTTCATCCAGAAAAACCATCGAGTTTGTCCTCCAACATCCTTTGTTGAATTGGGGGTTTTCATGAAAGATCGTGCGATGGATCATCCATGTGATAAATCCCTTAGAGTGTTTGATATCTTTTCAAGGAACCTTGGAGTGGTTGAAATCTTTTTAAGGAAGTAGAAAGAATTGAGTGATAGAATCGATGATCTTGTGTTGATAGTTTGCAATCGGATTTACTCGAGTGAAAAATCCCATAGAGTGTTTGAAATCTTTGCAAGGAATCTTGGGGTGTTTGAAATCCTTTTAAGGAAATAGCTTATGCGGTGAATAGGTTGCATCTATCGGTTGATTTGATCTTGCTTAAGATCAAAGGTTAGAAGAAGGAGCATCAACACCAAATTGGAGAACTTTGTATTGTTGTTTCTAACTCTTCCATTGTATTAAACATTTTGTATATAAAAATTATCCTAGTTCCATTGGAATTAGGCACATACATACCCACACGCAAGGACGACAGTAGAGAACTGTGTAGACAAACTCCTTGTGTGTTTTTACATTTCCTCTTTTACTTGCTTTCAATTTCATCGATCTTTTTATCAAATAGTGTTATGACAGTAATTGAATTGTAAGAATTTTTTTCTCAAACTCTGTTTTTGAAATAGGTGTGGATATAGCTTATAATCAATTTTGATTATAAGTGGTTTGTATATCAACACTACTTAAAGAGAAATTTTGAAAATTCACTTGCACGCCAAGTATTTGATAAAACGATCAAGGTAGCTCTTTTATTATTTAGCCTTGGAAATAGCATTGCAAAGTGATTATGTTCAAACAATTAAAGTGGATTGTTGATTTGAGTTTGCATCAATCTATTAATCATTTTGTTTCATAGATTTATCATGTATAATTTATATATCCGAGTTTCCAATAAGTTGTTTTTAGACGACTTATCCAGTTAATTGC